ACCATGCCATTCCCATGCTAAAAACACCATCACTTAACTTCCTATTGCTTCTAGAGTAATATATCCTGGAATTGAAAGTGATTCTCAATTTACCTTCAGGTACCTTTTCAGTTTTATTTATCATCATTCCCCTTCACAAAATGGGACCATATATTTTTTCCTCTCATTAAACATTTCACCTACTATCTCCATATATTTTAATAAGCCTTCTCCCATTCCCAGAATGTACTCCTTCGTCTACTCCACCTTTCGGAAGTTTTATCTTCTTTCAAGTTTTAGCTCAGGTATCATCAGCTGCTAAAGCTTTCCTTAAACCATTCATTTGTCAGTGCTCTCTCTCCTTTTTCAAATTACTTTGCTTTTACTGCTTATTTTTGTATATTTTTACTACCCCCAGCGGAATGCATGTTATTTGAAGTCAGAAGTTACCTTTGCATGCCTAGTATCTAGCTTGGCAGGGGCTTAATAAATGTTTTGTTTTGAAGTGATCACTCGTTGTCATTTTGTTTTACACCTTTCTAATGCTTTTGTCATATTGTTGTTGTTGTTCAGTTGTGTCCAACTATCCGTGACCCCATTTGGGGTTTTCTCAGCAAAGATACTGGAGTGGTTTGCCATTTCCTTCTTTAGCTCATTTGATAAATAAGGAAACTGAGGGAAAGAGGGTTAAGTGACCTGCCCAGGGTCACACAGTTAGTAAGTGTCAGAGGCCAAATTTGAACTCAGGTGTTCCTCACTCCAGGTCCAGCACTCTATCCACTCACTATATCATCTAGCTACCCTTTATGCCATATAATACTGGGTCTATAATAATAGGTCTATTGTTATTCCTCTCTTCAAATGTAAGTTCCAAGAGGACAGCCCACTCTATTTTCTATTTGATTCTAGTATGGAATATCTCTCTGAAATATCCACTAAAGAAATATGTACTAATGTACTAACTGTAACTATGGACATTGAGCTGCATACCTCTGTTACAATCATGAAGCACATATTAAGTACTTGCTGTGTATGAGGTAATGTGCTATGTGCTGGGAATACAAAGAAAGGCAAAAAGACAGCCTCGGCTCTTAAGGAGCTCACAGTTTAATGGATAATAAGAGCTAGAATTTATGTAGCTCTTTAAGTTTGTAAAATATTATACAAATATCTCACTTTATCCTCAGAACAACCCTAGGAAGTTTGTTCAGTCATTTGTCAGTCGTGTCCAACGCTTCAGGACCCCACTAGGAGTTCTCTTGGCAAAGATCTAGAGTGGTTTGTCATTTCCTTCTCCAACTCGTTTTACAGATGAGGAAACTGAGGCAAACAGGGGTTAAGTGACTTGCCCAGGGTCACACATTTAGGAAGTGTCTGAATCCAGATTTGAAATCAGAAAGATGAATCTTCCTGACTCCAGGCCCAGCATTCTATCCACTACATCACCTAGCTGTCCTATTATCATTCTTAAATGAGGAAAGTGAGATAGACTGGTTAAGTGACTTACTCCAGCGTTACATAGCTATTAAATATCTGAGGTCAGATACAAACTCCCATCTTCCAGGACTCAAGACCCAGTGCTCTATACATTTTGCCTCCTAGATGCCAATAATAATAATAACCAATGCTAAGGTTTTCAGAACACTTTACATATGTTATCTCACATTTAAGTCTGGGCATAGTTTGTATTTTTAAATCTAATATTCTTCTAGTGATGATGCAGTTCTCTGAAGCTTGAAGTACTATAAACTCTGAAAAATTAAATTAAAGTTAAAAAAAATTAGTGGAGAGGTGCATGGTGAGTATAAGTAGGCTAAAACATATTACCAATGAAGAATTCAATATGAGAAGGGTTGTATGAGATGTCAGCAGATAGATTCACGTCCATAAAAGGAGGAAGGCCAATCCTAGAGTGAGGGCATAGCCAATATACATGTAGCCTATGAGATTCACTGATACATACCCAAGGTCAAAAGAAGTAGGTGAAGGCCTACTACCACTTCTTGGATAGCCCCCTCCCCATAGATAGTCTGTGAGAGGACATGGATTGAAGCCACACAAGATGAGAAGTTTGGGATGGATTGTTATCTACACTGTTGCACCTATATCAATGAACTCACATATCTCTTAAAGTATCAAAGGACAAGGGGAGAAGGATCAACTCAGGGGAGGCTTGGTTTGCATTGGAAGTTACAGGGCCAAGGTCAGGGATGGATGGTCAGAAGCTGACTCTTCCCTCAGCCCATCACTCCTGACATCTTACCTGAGAACTACACTGGCCACAGACCAGGGGACTAAGAGAGAAAAGAGCTTGTTCAGCACCTTCCTCTTTCCAAATCCCATTAGAAAGCTTGCCCTGCTTTCTTCTCTTTGTCCTGCAATACTCTGCTCAGCTTCTCTCCTAATCTTTGCTTTTTGTGTGTGATTCCCTGACAGTATTATTGGCTATCTATAATTATTATCTCTTATTTATTAATTCTCTAACTTATCATCTGACTGTAACTTATTAATTCTTCAAAATGCTCAGTGATACGCTTGTCTGAGCAATGCTGTGTCAAACGAGGTTTATTAGCAGAGCCAGGAAAGGGGCAATCCACAGGGCGGTTTCTTGGTTTGCATTTGGTGGAGATTGTACATTTTTATCCACATTTGCAGCTGGTACAAGGACAATTGATTGGGTTGAGGCAGGATGGTGGGAATTGTAAGGCTGCCTGTCCTTGGGCAATGCTAAAAAGACAACTATGTTTTCTTCAGGTAATGATAGCTCCTAGAATAGCCTGTTATCACCATGGTATTTGGAAGCTGGCAGTAACACCACCAGGAAGCCTGGGGGATCTTGCCCAACTAAACCCCTGATTCCTTTCCTCAGTAGATTTCTTCCTCTTCTGTCCTGGGATTCACCTGCAGAAGCTGTTCCCATCCTCTCAGACTCTACATGGATGTAGGATATTAATAGCCCTACAAGGAAGGTAAGGGGTGTTAAGAGGTCCCATGAACTTGTCTTTTTTGAGTTGCCATATTTTCCAGAAACACTGACTAAAAGAGAACTATAGCAAAAAGTGTACTGGCCTAACGTTTGAATGCCATTTCTGCCACTGATTAGACATGTGACCTTGGAAAAGTCTCTTCATTTTGAGAACACATTCTGGGGAGGCAGGGTTCCCAGACCAGATAAGATCATCTGTTGTCAATCTGTTAATCAGAAAATGTTACCTCTGACTAGGTAACATTAAGCCCAAAAAGTGATGTTCCCTGGTTTTTCTGCTGCTTCCCAAACTGCATGACATTATGTGATCCAGTGGTCTCTGAAGTGGGGGCTCTGGTGCCTCTGTGTGTGGGGGTCATTGGGGAGGGCTGTGCAAGAGAGTCAATTGTGAAGTTTATCTCCAATATAGCCACACTTACCCTATCTCCCAACATTCTTCTACTCTTTCCTCTTGCTCTGCTGTGCAACTCTCAAACCACTCCCCTCCTGAGCCAGACCTCAGTGCCTCAGATCAGTTTTAACCTAAACTTTCTACTTACAGGAGCTGTGTTGGCACCATTGGGGAAATTCCATACCAACTCCCTGCCTCCAAGTAAATAGCGTGCTGATACATATTTAATAACAGGTTCTCAGGAGGAGAAATGTAAGCATGGCACACTTTTATTAACATTTTCTCCAACAGTTTCTAAAGCACAGACAAACAACAAAACAATAAACATAACCTTAATTTATAAGACTTACTGATTTCCAAGGTGTAACTGCTCAGGTCAAAAATTTAACAATCAGCTCTCTTGAGCTCAAGCTGGCTCTAGCACATCCTTACATCTCAGCTCACCTAATGGCTGTGGCAGGTGCCCCTCACAAAGTGGGCTCTGCTCTCTGGGATCAATGACTGTTGAGGAAAAGCTCCACATATATTCACCCTTTGCATTTTATGTCCAATAAAGTAAAGTGACTGACTTAGCAGATATAAAAATGTCAGTACATTATCTTTTCCTCAAAACCCTTCCGTTGTCTACTCTTCCCTAATAGTGTTGGTAGCACCTTTATCCTTCCAATCACCCAGGTTTCAAAAGCTACTGTCATCTTTGAGTTCTCATTTCCTCTTCAGGCAGCTAGGTAGTGCAGTGGACAGAATGCCTGGCCGAGAGTCAGAACAACTTATTTTCCTGAGTTTAAATCTTGCCTCAGACAATTACTAGCTGTACAATCCTGGGTAAGTCACTTAACCCTGTTTGCTTCAGTTTCCTCATCTGTAAAATGAGCTAGAGAAGGAAATGACAAACGACTCCAGTATTTTTGCCAAAAAAGGGGTCACAAAAAGCTGGACATGACTGAAAAATGACTGAACACCCCCCTTTTCCTCCATAACCATTTCCATATCCAAAATCCTCTATAGCATTCTGTCGCTTATACCACTACTTCTCTCAAATCTATCTCCTCCCTATTCACATGGTCATCACCAATTCAGGCTCATCATCTCTTGCACGGATTATTGAAACAGCCTCCTGTTTGGTCTCCATTCCTCTCTTTGGTGCATTCAGATTTGCAAACATTGACTTTTCCATGTACCCAACAGCAGCTAATGGAGAAGTTAACATAGTTTGCAAAGTCTGTAGATTTTCATTTTTAGTTCCATCATTCTGTTCCATCCTCCACACAGCTGTCAGAGACCCTCCTCAGATGTTGTTCTGACCTTGTTACCCACCTCTTCAATGAACTTTAGGTATCTCCCTGTTAATTCTAGAATCAAATATTATTTTATCACCCTTATTAATTTCTATTTTTATGTTTTATATTACAGAATTATCAATACAGTAGCATATTATATATTTTATATAAATATACACATATTGGGAATTTGTGTGCTTTAAAAAAATACTGAAAGAGCTGTGTCATAAAAAACATTTTGGCAACCAGTGATATAGTGAACGTAGACACAGGGACGGCTGGCAATGTGATTTGTGACTGGTGTCACGGAATGCAACAGTCCCTTGGCAGCCCAGGCAAACCTCAGGCTAGAGAGTTTTCCTACCTGACATCAGCAGGGTCTTCAGTCACAAGCACATCAGTCTTACAGCTGGCCAGTGGATTGATAGACAGATCCACAGGAGGCACCACAAAGCTCTTGCTGACTGGGAGCCAGAGTCCCTGCCCCAAGCTGTAGGTAGACCTATAAGAGAAACAGTCAGCACCTGAGTTCACATCCGGCCTCAGACACTTGCTAGATGTGTGGCTCTGGGAAAGTCACTTAACTCTGATTGCTTCAGAAAAAAGAGGGGGTTCTTAACCTGGGGTCCATAGACTCCTAAGTGGAGAGATTTCAAGGTATCCATGAACTTGGATGGAAAAATTAATACATCTTTGTTTTCACTGATCTTTGGTTTCCTTTATAATCTTACATCCATTTTATTTTATTTATTTTATTTCATGCATTTACAAACATCATTCTGAGAAGAGGCTCACAGGGTTCACCAGACTACCCAAGTGGTCCAGCCTCCCCCACAAAAAATGTTAACAACCTGTGGGCTAGATGATCTGCTAGTTCCAACATTTTGTGATCTCATTTATCATTCTCACCTGGAAGGTCCCTCCTTCTCCTTTCCCAATCAAGGATCCTAACTATCTTTGAAGGCCTTGCTCAAGTACTCCCCCCTCACCACCCTCAGCCCATAGGGGGTGCTCTCTTCCCTGATAGGCTCCAAAACTTGCTGAACATACCACTCATTGGGCAATTATTATGTAATGGCAAATAGTGAGAATTCACTATTTATATGTTGAGTGTTTAGGTATGAGTCCTCTCTCCAACAAAAGCACAAACCTCACAAGGGTGGGGATCATGCTTTACATTTCTTTGTTTCTCTGACATCATCAGGCACAAGGGTTAGCACACAGAATACACTCAGTAAATGTTCATTCACTTCCCTCATCTCTTAGCTGAGGATTTCATACCTTTCTTCTATAACTTATAAAGTTATTGAAAGAATTAAATGAGAAAGAGCAAATCGCTTTGAGAATTATGAGTATGAAGCCATAGTAGCAATAGCACCAGCAGTAGGAGTCATGACCAGTTCAAGTCTGAGTTGTGTAAGGAAAAGATGATTTGGAGGTACAGAATTTGAATTCAAATACTAATCCTGCTACTCTGTGACTATGAGGGGAAAACAAAAACAAAATACTTCCCTCCCCCATATCCCAGGGACACCACCCTTTCCCACCCCACCCCTAGTATATCTACCCACTGACCTGAGGATCTTTTCAGGTGCCTGCTCCCCTGTCACAAGGTCATATCCCCTTTCCAGGGTTGTGTAAGGCCAAGGTCTGTAAGGAAAGGAATGTGGGGAGAGGAACAGAACAGCAAAGGGATACTTAGTAAGATTAAAGTGTTGTCTCTGGGTAGACTTTATTCAAGGAAAAAAAAAACACAGAAACAGGAACAGATTTACCCATTTCCACTTTCCCCAAACAAATAAGTATAGATATGGTGGGGGGGGGGATTTGATTAAAAAATAATTCTTTACAAATAAATGAATCAATCATAAAATTCCTTTAAATCATAAGTTTTCCTTGTGTATTTAGGTACAGTTTTGGGTTTTTTTGCCTCTATCATCTTGATTATTAACTATTAGATGGTTGGGGTTTACAAGTAAAAAGTTAAGAGCCACCTGTTTATGAGAATTCATTATCAGTTAGAACATCAAACCACTAGATGGGGGAGGGAGGTCAGAAAACATGGGTTCCAGTGCTAGATATGACACTATTTAGCTTTGTGACTTTGGATAAGTCACTTTCCTTTCTCTAGGCCTCAATTTTCCTCACCATAAAATGAGAGGGTTGGCTCAAAGTTCCTTTCCAGCTTAAACACTGAACATTCTAAAGTCCTGTTCTAAGCCTAATGTTGTAACATTCTATGTTCTAAACTCCCTTCCAGTGCTATCATTTTATATCTATCTCTATCATTAGATTAATTAAATGGGAAAGGGGTTTTTATTTATATTTAACTTCTGCAGACTCCCTCTGTTCCAGAAGTGCACTAGCTTTGGTCTTGTATAGGAAAGATAAGTAAGAGAAAAAAAATACGATAAGAGAGAAAGATTAAGTAAGAAAAGATAAGTAAGAGTTGTTGCTGGGCCAAGCCCTGACTTCCTCGGTACTCACCCTTCACTCTGCCCCCAGTCACTCCGCACACACAGGTGTCTGTGCACAGGGTCTGGAGCATAGCCTTCATGACAGCTGCACTCCCCTTCAAGAGGAAGAAGAACAGGGAGGTCATGAACATAAAGCCTGGCAGGTTATAACAGCAGCATTAATAATAGCAATTCCATTCAATTAACAACAATTAAGCACTGACCAAGTTTTGGGAATACAAAGATTAAAAATAATAACAACACACAATGGCTATCCTAAAGGACTTTCTATTCTACCAGGATAATTGTAACCATTTAAAATGTACTTTAGGGTTTTCAAAGTGCTTCCCTCAAAAATCCCCTGGGAGGAAGTTAATACAGGAATTATTAACTCCATTTTACAGATGAGGTTTGAAGAGGTCAAATGATTTACTAAGATCACATAGCTAGCAAATGGGAGGGCCAGGACTTCAATTCAAGCTAACTGGCTTCAAATGTCTAGGACCTTGGTACCTGAGGGACAGTTTCACATGTCCATGCAGTCAACTGACTTGAGGAAGTTCCTATCTATCTATCTATCTATCTATCTATCTATCTATCTATCTATCTATCTATCTATCTATCTATCTATCTATCTATCTATC